TCCACTTTTTGTGGTTGCTGGAATATGCCAAGGTCTCTCACGTCTTCTGCCTTTGCACATCCGCTAGTCTCCCTGAACTGTGCCCAACTTTTTTCACCTGGCAAATTCATTCCTCTAGTTTTGGCTGAAGAACTTCCTCCTCTATGAAGCCATCCCTGCTGCTCCTGGGCTGTCTTGACATTCCATCTGTGCTGCTAGAAGACATTTAGTACAGAGGCTCGAAGCCTAAAAATCAGCATCAAGATTCTCTTCCTGGCGTCACCACTGAGAAGCTGTGACCTTGAGCCAAGTATTTAAGTTTTCTATTCCTGTTCCCTCATTTATGACATGGAAATATAAATAGTACTACTCTTGGGGTTAGCGTGTGATTTCAGTGGGTTAATACATGTAAAGCACTCACAAGTGACTGGCACCTGTTAAGTTTTCAGTGTTGGTTATGACATCTTAATCGCTGCTATTCTCAGATCACAGGGTAATCTCTGCAAATGTTCTTCTCACTAGACTATAAACTATTTGAGGGTAGGGATCATATTTTTCCTTGGAGCCTTTCCAGCTTAGAACAGTGCTTGGGATACAAATATTTGAAGCCTAAAATTCAGAGGTTCCAAGCCAAAGAAGAAAATGGAGAGTGGTTCCTCTCTATGAGACTTGTAAGGATATAGCAGAGCCACCCAAGGGATGAAGGAAGGGGGAAGGTGAAGAAACAAGAAATGTAATTGCCATGAGGAAGGAACAATCGTTGATGTAGAACTGTATCCCCAGCTCATCATTGGTACCAAACAAATATATGATGGATGAGGCAAAATAGAGGTCATAAAATCAGGAGTGTAACAGGAATCAAAACATAATTTTTTTCTTTTAAATATCTAAACAACTATTATAGAAATAATATCACATGCCATTTATTTATTATGTAAATTGCTCAGGTGTAAATAAAGGTGGCTGGGTACAGTGGCTCCCTTCTGTAATCCCAGCACTTTGGAAGGCCGAGGTGGGTGGATCATGAGGTCAGGAGTTCAAGACCAGTCTGGCCAACATGGTAAAAACCCATCTCTACTAAAAATGCAAAAATTAGCTGGGTGTGGTGGCACGCGCCTATAATCCCAACCACTCAAGAGGCTAAGGCAGGAGAATAGCTTGAACCCAGGAGGTGGAGGTTGCATTAAGCTGACAGCACGCTATTGCATTCCAGCCTGGGCGACAGAGCGAGACCCCCATTCAAAAAAAAAAAAAAAAAAGGAAAGAAAAGAAAAAAGAAAAAGTTTAAGTGTGCAAACCACAATGTCCAAGAAATCTCTTCGCAATACTCCAAAACGTTTCTGTTTACGAACTGATAAATATGAAGGTGTGTTCTTTTCCATATCAGTCTTGTATAATTTGGTGCCTGTCAGGATCTAGGCAATATTACATGGTTGGAATATGCAGGTTAATTTAGTTTAAGGCATGAGAAACATATTGGTATAGAAAACATAATTATTTAAGAAATTTTGCTAAATTCACATTTCTTAAACTTCTACTCATATATCCCACATCATAGTGACACAAAGAACATACGGGAAACAAGAGCTCAGAACACCACGTATTTACTCCAAAAATATTACTTCTAAAAAATGATAAAAATTAGGCCTGGTGAAATGCTTAGATGCAAAGTCAGAATAACATAATTAAAAGCATTTATGTTTTGCTTAAATGGTCTGTTACACGAATTTCCAGAAAAATAAGTTTTCAAATCTGTAAGTCTTGTTCCCATTTATTTTTTTTGTTGTGATTCAGAAATACAAGGTATGAAAATTAGGTTACAATTCTGCCACAAAAGCTTCTAAAGCAGCAAACACAACTTCTATTGTGTATCAAAATAGCTATGTGCACTTTTGTCAATGAAAAAGTCTTTAGAGTTATCATATCAAGCAATTGTAAAATATAATAGCTACTATCTCCCCTTCAAAATAGCAAATCCACAGTCACTGCACTGCAGTATAACCCGAACAGCAAGATTTAGTCCAGAATATGGAAGGTTATGGTCGGCAGGTACTTTTTAAAGCTGACTCTCTAAGAACTAAAAGAAATGAGAAATATACAAAGTATCTTATGTCAAAGAGTATGAATAAGTGGCTTCAAGTGAGTTAGAACATGATGTAATTAAATGTTTATATAATTTAGCAAAAAAAATGATGTTGCTTTCTTCTAGAAAAAGATATAATTCTTTGAACTGAAGCAATATTACCAAAATGTTTCCATCATCTAAACACTAGAAACAACCTCTCAAAATTTCACTTGCAACTATCAATAATATATGGTCTGACAGATCCAGATAAATATATATATGTTTGTGAGACGGAGTCTCGCACTGTTGCCTGGGCTGGAGTGTAGTGGCACAATCTCAGCTCACTGCAACCTCTGCTTCCCAGGTTCAAGTGATTCTCCTGCCTTAGCCTCCTGAGTAGGGGATTACAGGCACTCACCACCATGCCCAGCTAATTTTTTGTATTTTTAGTTTCACCATGTTGGCCAGACTGGTCTCAAACTCCTGATCTCATGATTCTCTGCCTCGGCCTCAGAGCTGGGATTACAGGCATGAGCCACTGCACCCAGCCCAGATAAAGATTTAGAATTAAATATATAGAATAAAATAATTTATTCTATTAAAAAAATAGAATTAAAAAAGATAATAAAAAAATTTAAAAAAAGAAAGAATAATTTCCATGATTTTGTTTTTGTAAAAAGAAATAAGGATTGTTTTCTATATATTTTTCAATTATTAAGTCCTTGAACATATTTGAGGATTTTTATGGTTGAATGATGTTAATTTTTTAATATACTTACAAATACATTATAATAAAATAATACAACCAAATTAAAAAGCAGGCATTTAAAAACTGAAATTCACGAAATGAGCTGTTCTTGGCTACATACAGAAAGCCAACATTTAAACAGAATTATAATTAAACATTTACTGCCATAGGTAATATTTATCCACTTCTGGGTCGAATAGAAGGTGTTGAATCAATGTGATCCTTTAAAAAAACAAAGTCATTAGTCTCCATAACAATCACACTCAAGGTTTTTTTTCCCCCCAGCAGAAAAACAAGTTGTTCAAGCATTGAACCAAAAAATATAAAAAATAGAATTTGCTTTGTAATATTTTCATGTTTTGGATGAAGTCAGCCCATTGTGGGAGGCTCCTTAAATGCCTACAACCCCTTATCCAAAGCCCTTTGGGCTGGATGTGTTTCAGAATTCATAATCTTTGGGGTTTTAAAAAGGCAATATGGGTTGGGCACAGTGGCTCACACCTGTAATCCCAGCAGTTTGGAAGGCTGAGGCAGGCGGATCACAAAGTCAGGAGTTCGAGACCAGCCTGACCAACATGGTGAAACCCCATCTCTACTAAAAATGAAAAAATTGCCCAGGCGTGGTGGTGCATGCCTGTAATCCCAGCTACTTAGGGGGCTGAGGCAGCAGAATTGCTTGAACCCAGGAGGTGGAGGTTGCAGTGAGCCGATATCACACCACTGCATTCCAGCCTGGGCAACAGAGTGAAACTTTGTCTCAAACAAACAAACAAATAAAAAAGGCAATATGGGCATATTTTGATTATTACAAAACACCTCCACAGCATCTAGGGGAATACCTATAATCAAATCCATGGATATTTCTTCAGGGAAAATTAACAGTCACAATGAAGTAGCATAAATAAAAAGTACAATATTCTCACATCCGTTCAAGTCTGCTTTTGCTGCTAAATGAATTACGGTATCAAATTGAGAAAAAACAAAAACAAAAAAACAAAAAAACAAAAAAAACTAACTTAGATTTCCAAGTTTTTTGGTAAGGGACTGCAGCCCTTTAACGTCTCTGACAAGGAAATTTCTTCCCTGACATGATGGTCTCCACAAATCTGATCTCATATTTTAGTGGTAATTGGGATAGGGACAATTGTCTTCTGCCCCAAAACAAGGGCTCTTAACAGGCACTCTTACATTTATTCAGGTAGTAGATTACAGTCTCACTGGAGGTGACAGGTTCTATGAGGATAATTTGAAAAAAATATATTGAAATAACTAATGTTATTAAATCAGACACCATCTTGGACTAGATTCTAATATAGATCAGCAGTAGAAGGTGCCAACATTCAAGGAACATTTATGAGAAAAGAATAAAATTGAGAAACATCTAGACATTAATGTAATTGTTTTCTGCAAATTATGAAAAGCTATGATTCCATTTTAGCAGCTGTACAATGCAACTCAATTTAATCTGTAAACTTTGGCTCTAAAAGACTGAAAGATTTATGAAACCATTTTGGCATCAACCCAACCTCATAAGCTGCAATGAAATCATTCCAGGCAATTTGTACATTAAACAATAATTTATTCTCTACCTATTAGTATTTAAATATGCTATTTTCAGATCTTAATAAAAAGATACCATGGGTTAAAGCCATAAAACATCTTTAAAAAGTTAAATCATTTAAAGTCAAGAGCTTCAAAAAGGAGCAAAAAAAGGTTTGCTATAATTTTTAGGTCTTAAATTTTTGTATAGAGTTTTTGTTTTTTAAGTTTTATTTTACAATTTAAGAAAGTTTCCTCTTCAAAAACAGAGGTCTTTTCTCACCGAAGTGAACGGAATGTGCTACCACATATGCAAGGAGGATGAGTACGAACGACAAACAGGATGCAACAGGGAATGCTGGCTAACACTCATCAGAGGCACTTGCTGTAGAAATCCAACGAACACAGATCCCATAACCTGGAAACATCATGCAGGGGCCAAGAGGGCCTCCAGGGCTACAGAGTTACAGTAATGAGTGGGCTTCCTTAGCACGTGGTATGAAGATGATGCCTGCAGGCTCAGCGGGAGAGTCACAGAAAGAACAGGTGATCATTTTATTTCAAAAGCGAGCCTCTTCAAAATCAGCCTTTTTTTCTTAATGGGTAAACGTCTTATTATCATCAGCCCTTCCTAAAAGCTACATATGTGCTCTGAGAAAAATGTCACACTTTTTAATTTTTTCATTTGTTTTAATTAATTCATGAATTAAGTTAAAAAGTCAAGTCAAAAAAATTTTAGCTGGTCTTTTTTTTCTTCTCCCTTTTTTTTTCTTTTCTTTTTTTTTTACAAAAATATTACAGCAGTATAAGCAAAATTGGAAAGGAAGAGATGGGAAGAACAAATGGAGGCTAAAATGGAGTAGGTGAACTTCAGGTCATCATGGCTATTGAAGGAATTGTAAATTCTGAAGTTTCTAGATTTTATCGCTCTTCTGAAAACATTTAAGGAGGCTGCCTTTCCTGATGAATGAGAAATGAAACGTTCCCTAAGCATTTCAGTCTAAAGACAAGAAAGCATTGCTTTTCCAACTAGAAAACATCTCTTTACCTCCCATTGCACTGCCCTCTCTCATCCCCCTCGTATCTTTATGGGATCAAAGAGAGAGAGAAGTCATGAGTTTTCACCAGCAGCAGAGTGAGTGCTGAGCACAACACAGAGCTGTTAGTGACATTCAGACTCGCTGGCAATGGGTCCAACTTATCTTGAATAAAATACACCAAGTTAAAAAGAAAAAAAAAACCCTAGAAACCCAAAACTGTTTTTTATGGAAGGTTTAAAGGAAGTCCTCAAGATTTCTTTATGTGTCATAAAGTACATTTCTGGACTTAATCTCTAGGGGGGGCAAAAAAGAATAAATAGAAAAAAATTGAATGATCATTCTGGAATCCTGTTCTTTACCTTGTTGACATGCTATTAATTCTCATACCATCACCTCTCTACCTCAAAGCCTAGGAAATCAAATGGTCTCTTATTCCATATTTGCATAGTACTAATAATATTGTCAGGAGGTGAACTTCTAGCTCCTTGCTTGCAGCCACATTTCTGAAGAGCACTGGTCCAATGTGATATTCAAAAACAATATATAAGTGTCTATTGGTCAAAAATTGAGTCCCATTTAGCAGCAAGCTGTTCAAATTATTTGGAAACAGTCTTCTTCCAAGGGTAAGAAGAATTAGGCAGTTTTATTCGCAATTTCAGATTTTTCTCTCTGCATCATACAGCGACGAACTATGCTGTCAAAACTTCCAAGGTAAAACAAAGCAATAGTACGGAAAAGGCCCATGGTGACCACCTGCAAGATAAAGAGAGAGCTTTTAGTACATCCAATAGTACAAGTGTATTTCAAGGTGGCCAGGCACGGTGGCTCACACCTATAATCCCAGCAAGGCGGATGGATCATGTGGTTAAGAGAGCAAGACCATCCTGGCCAACATGGTGAAACCCCATCTACACTAAAAATATAAAAATTAGCTGGGCATGGTGGCTCATGCCTGTAGTCCTAAATACGCGGGAGGCTGAGGCAGGAGAATCGCTTGAACCCAGGAGGCAGAGGTTGTAATAGGCCAACGTCGTGCCACTGCACTCCAGCCTGGCAATGGAGCGAGACTCTGTCTCAAAAAAAAGACTATTTCAAGGTACCTAGGTCTCTAATAAATAGTTTATAAGACATCTTCTAGTCTGCTCTAAGGATGAATATAACAAAAACTCTGTAAATATCAGTATGCCGTGAGAACAGAATGTGTGTGCTCTGCACCACTGGACAGCCCAGGGCCTGCCAGAAAGATAACAAAGTATTTGTCCAGTTAATAAGTTCAAACCATAAGCAGAACAAAATAGGTATTGCTCACAGCCTTAGTGTTATAACAGCTTAAAAACATCCACTCCAGCATCTCAAGCAGTCAAACGACAGTCAAGGCTTTTTTGGTTTGAGATTTATGTTGAGCATGAAAGCGAGACCCTATACTAGGTGCTGAGAACACTGCGGTGAGAGACACAGTCCCTGCGCGCAAGGAGCTGATTCTCGGGCTGGAAAGACAAGTAAAAGTGAAACTACTGCCTCGGGGTTGAGACCGTGATTACCGATAGACCTTCACTCTTTCCCCTAAAAGACTCACAAAAACAATGCTAAATGGGATTTTGAAAATGGAGAAAATTACAAAGAAAAACATTTTCAAATATGCAAAGTCACAACAAATTTGACTTCTAGGCCCTGTTTTTTTTTTTAGAAAGCTATTTCACTAAACAGCCAATGTGAGGTGGTTGATAGAGAAAGATGATGTCATGTGAGGCAAGAAGCAGGGTACCCAACACAAAAGAGAGACAGAAGCACCCCATGAACGCCCATGGAGTGGGGAGACCAGGCATCTGCTGTGCACCAGGTTCCCGGAGGGTGGTGCCCAGAGAGGGAAGGGGAGCTCCACACTCCTCCCATGCACCTCTCCCCAGGCTCAGTGAGCCATTCTAGCACATTAACCAAATCTGAGGAAGGGGTCACGAAAACCCCAATGTATAGCCAACTGGACAGAAACACAGGAGACAACCTATCAGTTGTGACTGGTGTTTCTGGTTGGGGGAAGTCTTGCGGGGCTGAGCCCTTCACCTGTGGGAGCTGATGCTATTTCCAGATAAGTAGTATCAGAATTGAACTGAATTAGTGGATACCCAGCTGGTATCCCATTAGGAATCCTCTACTACAGATTTGAATGACTGATTGTTTTGGGGAGAAATCTCTACACACTTCCTGGTTGGTGACCAGAGGTCACAGAAGTCTTCTGTGGTTTTTGTTTTTTTGAGACAGGCTTTCATTTTGTTGCTCAGAATGGAGTGCAGTGCCATGAACATGGCTTACAAAACTTTGACCTCTGGAATTCAAGGGATGCTCCTGCCTCATCCTCCCAAGTAGCTGGGACCACAGGCATGAGGCACCATGCCTGGCTTTTTTTTTTTTTTTTTTTTTGGAGAATTATTCAGTAAGAGAATAGAAAAAACATTTTGTTTATTTCCCTACACCCTCAGAGCACTGAAGTCAGTCCTTGGATCTTCCGGAAAAAAAACAATGTTTAAGGTGCGAACTGAAGGAAGATTAGAAGTTAGTAGGTCATAGAGAAAGTTCCAGAAAGAAGAGGACCAGTAGAGAAAGAAATGAAAGAGCCTGGAAAGGTAAGTGGGGTAGGAGATCAGAGGCTTTATGGCATGCAATGGACATTTTTTTAATTTTTAAATTCTTTTTAGAGACAGGGTCTTGCTCTGTCACCCAGGCTGGAATGCAGCAGTGTGATCATAGCTCACGGTAGCCGCAAACTTCTGGGTTCAAGCAGTCCATCCACTCCAGTCTTCTAAGTTGCTAGGAATACAGGTATGC